CACTCAAAAGCATTTGAGCCAGTGTACAATGGTCCATTTACTAACATCATGCGCTTTCACAGGGCAATTAAGCAAAATTGCTTATGTGCTGTGAGAACAAACCTTGCTGGAAGGGACTGCAACAAAGGAAGAACCCATCTCTAATGGCACTAAGTCATTTCCCAAAACCTGAAATTGCTAAGTGGCCATCTGCAATCAAAAGTTTTGACACATTTTAAAGAACATTTTCCTGCAATTGGCCACTCCTGAGCTTTCCCTCAGAGCTGCGTGTGAAGCAAATGCAATATCCATTGATTCGGCACTGTTTAAAACCCCTTAGCACAAGCAAGCATAAACTTATGCCCTAGCTTTTGAGAGACAATAGCTTTAATAGCTGACATTTTTAGGTTTTAACATTCTTTTCTCTTATTCTAGATCTGCCTGCTAGGCAGAGAGGCAAAATGCTGGAACAGAATCCATTCTGCAGGAAATGGGATGTTGATCTTCAAAGATAAACACTTGAGTGTTTGAATATTTCCCTGTATGTTCCCTTTGGAACAGTCCCTAGGAGATGCTGTGAGTTAGCAAGCAGATGAATGGCACTGGTTACTGTTAACTACTGTATCCATGGATGTAAAATCCCCAGTTCCTCTCCCTGGCTCCTTTCATCTCAATAGAAGCTGTGACTTTTACAAGGAAAGGATTCCAGGTTTCAAACTACTCGTATAAACCTTTGTTTGTACGGTGTAATAAATCAAAGGCAGAAATAGCCTACAGGGTTCCTTGCTATGCTGCACACCATGAGCAAATCATTTACTTTCCAGGGGACCATTAATTAGTATTGATTTGTCTTTTTGCTCAGACATTTCACAGGCATATGGACAGAAGGCTGCTTGCCAGCTCATGATGCATCCAGAGCCTGTTGTTTTCATCCCGTAGCTTTTCATACAGGTTGAAAAGATTTGCAAACTGAAGAAACTGAAACAGGTGATCTTCATATCACCTGTTCTAAGCATCTAGTGAAAGGAAATAAATGAGAAGTAAGGGGCAAATCACTGGCACATGTTGCCTAGAGAGGTGGTCAGTGTGATGTCCCTAGAGATACTGAAGTCAGGCTCTGAGCACTTGGTTGAGCTCATTTCAGAGGAGCTGTGATGACCACAGCTTGCCACCAGCAGCTTGTCATTCTTGCTTCCACTGCACTTCCTGAGAAGGAAGCGTGAGGAACAGTCCTAGGGTTGTACTGAGATTCTACTGATCATTGGCACAAACTCAACAGCAAAAGCCAGTTAGGGAGGAGCAAGTCTGGCACTGATCCATCCTCCTCCATCCTCTAGGCAGCCCCAGGATCAGCAGGCATCTAAAAATTGGCTGTCAATACCTTCTGCACAAAGACAGCAATTATAATTAGGAGATCAAGTTTCTTAGAAAGAACGTGACAGCCTAGGAACAGCACTTTGCTACTCAAGTGGAAACAGGTCTACAATTAAGTGGAAATTTGATTCCTTTATTGCTGCCTCCTCCCCCACCCCATTTTTGTTTTGGTTTCGTTTTTGCAAGTTTTCAGTATCTATTTTCTTAACAAATAAGGAGAGTTCCTTCTATTTCAATAGGTTTCTTTCTTAGTGTCAGCTGTTTTAAACATCCTTTTGCATACATGGATTTTATCTGTCTTCACATACCCACTACGAATGCAATCCTGTAAAACATACTGTTCACAAAGCTGAAACTCCCTACAAAGCATTCCCACACCACCCAGCCTTCAGCTGGTGCTGGCATTTTCCATGGGATCACCACATGCCCTATAAAGGCTGCTGCTTGGGGCAGGGAATGAAGGGCTTGTTGGAGGGTGAATTCTTGCAGAAAGGGTGTAAAGCTGCTGGCTGGATGGGGAGCACTGATTATTTTTCTGATTTAGAAAGAATTAGAGAGAAAACAACTGATTAGCAGTTTCCAGGGAGGCAAACTTCATGTGAGACTCTAGAGGGTACCCAGTCATCTTCTTAAATGTTAAGGTGTTGAATACTGAAATGAAGGGAATTTGGTATTAGTTCCTGTGGAGCTTGATCCACTGACTAGTTTTGATTTAGAGCACTTGCTTCAGCTCCGGGTTAGGCTGATGATTATCTCTGCTTACGCTCTGCTTTGTTGCATGTGGCTCATGGATTACAGTCCTATGCTGGCTGTGGCTTTCAGGAGAAACTGTTTCCAGTCTTGCATATTGAGAAATCCCCTTGTAAAGCACCTGTCTGCTTAAATCTGACATGAAGGTTCCTAACCTCAGTGGGACTGGTGCCCAGTTTCTTGGGTACCTGGGAGCAGCCCACAGTGTGACTCCATGCAATCACTGAAGCATAACAAGTGTTTTCTTCCCTTTTGTTCAGATAGTTCTAACCAAATATTCTTCAAAAGGAGACATTTGAAGCTTGCCACATCGCAGTGCTTAAGTGCTGTGAATCACAGGGGTTATGTCTTCCCATCAGGCTGCTCTTTGCAGCTGATAGCCCACAGTGAATGCTTATCTCACCCTGCTGTTTATTCTGAACTAAGTGAAACTATTTCTCTGTGGTGGGTTCTCCTAAAGCTAATTAGCACTTAGTTGTAAATATACATGTGGGGTTGAGATTCATTGGATAATAAGTTTCTGTTGGATGCTCCTCCATTGGTGGAGGAAATTAGCATGCACCTGCATAGCTAGGCTCTGCTGTATTGAGTTGTGAGCAGTGTCTTGCTTGCTGTGTTCCAGCAGTTCTGGTTAGGGTGATTAAAAGCAGCAGTATCTAGCTCAGGAGGAAAGAATACTTTTGAAAGAATATTGCTCTCCCTGGAAACATCTGTGCTCTGGGGCTGCCAAGACCAAATGCAGGAGGCAGAAATTTCAGGTCACAAGAGCTGTAGTTTCACAGAAAACACCTCTAGCAATCCAGAGATGAAACAGACTACTTCAAAGCTTCCAGCGTTCCTCTGTCATCTCTTCTGGTTTTAAAAATGTTTAGTTGCTGTAAATGGGTCAATAGCAAGAGTTTCTATTTACATTGCTTGTTGTTTTCTATCCTCTGGTGATGCTGTGAATGTTGAATTAAAATCTTGTGGATAGGCACCTCAAAGCTCAGTCTGGAGCTATTATCTACAGCAGAAAATCAGAGAGGCTTAGTTTGGTCTTTGGACTACAACAAATAAAAGGCAGTATGAACACAGTTCCTGCTCAAAGCTTGCTTGCACAAAGAGCTTAGGCTTTATGTAACGCAATTAATCAAATTAATTAATCAAACTGCACATTTTTTTTTTATCAAATATCTAATATTTAGTGTAATCTGTAAGGCCTGCTAGGATTGTAAATAAGTGAATTGCCAGGTTTGATGTAGCTCTAGGTGACATCAGGCTTTCTCTGGTCTCAATATTTGAATGTGAGTAGCCTTCTAAATCTGCACTCTCCCTTCAGCCTCTATTCACTGGTGTCATAACTTATAAGACCATTCTCATACCATTTTGGTCTTCCTCCAACCCACCTTCTACCTCTGGTTTCGAACACCTCACATTATGACTGGAAGCAAAAATGTTTGCTGAACTGTCTCTATTTCCACCATAGCTAGTGCTGCAAATTGGGCTGTGTTTGTTGAACGTGAGGTGCCTGGTAAAACTGGTCAAGCTAATTTTTATTTTTTTTTTGCCACTGAAAATTTCATGCTTTTTCTTTTTGCCCTCAGCAAACATGTAATGATCTAGAAAGCTATCAAATGTTTTAATGTTTGACCCACGGAAGTGAAATACCTTCTACCCCTTTTACAGGAATTGTGGCATTTTAAGAACTGTTTATTCTTTAATGCTGATTGATTCCTTTAATGTACATTGTTTTGATTGTTTCACTTGATAATACATTTCACACAACTAGAAAAGCTATTTAACCCAGGGCCAATAGTTAATGTGTTATTTCTGTTCAAATTCTTACAAAGCAGACCTGAGCTAAACTCACAAATTAGATTTAAACTTTAAAGACCAATTGGCTCAATGCATAGGAGCACAAATGGCATAACAGAAAGGCTGTTTGTACAGTGCATTGGGAGAAGATTTCGCCCAAAATGTTGAATGTTAATGTGCAGAAAAAGTCGTTCACTGAACTGAGCCAACTGACAGCTATGACTGAGGATGAAAGTGAAGATGTGGTTTCAAAGTTGATCTCTGAGTCTGGGTGCAGAGAGATGTCTCTGTGTGAGAATTAATAGCCTGGAACTCAAGCAGAATAAGTGGGGGAAAAGGGGTAAATCATCTCAGTAAACAACTACAAGATGCATTTTGAATTCATAACCACGTTCCTCCAACAATTTAGTGACTTCAAGATGTGGGCAGTCTGGCTTTTCACAGAATGACAGAATTGTAGGGGTTGGAAAGGACCTCCAGAGATCATCAAGTCCAACCCCCCTGCCAAAGCAGGTTCCCTACAGCAGGACGCAGAGGTAATTCCTTAATTCCTCTTCTGAAGTCTGAGCTGTCTTTTCTGCTCTCATCTTACCCTCATCAACAGCACATACAGGTAGTGCCATTTGAAACTGCTCCATGGGAAAAAAACTTTTTTTTTTTTTTTTTTTTCTTTTAATGAAAAGGATTTGAACAGTGCTTTCCATAGTGTTTCAGAAACAAAGAATCATAGAATCATAAAGGTTGGAAAAGGCCACTAAGATCTTCTAGGCCAACCGCCAACATATCTTTACCATGTCCCTCAGTGCCACATCTATGTGTTTCATGAACACTTCCAGGAACTCAGTAGGTAACAGCAAAACTGGGCTCTCCAAGAGTCTCCCTGCGTGTTGTTGGTGATGTTGCTAGAACTTGGTTTGGCCATTGATGGTTTGCATTTTCTGTCCTCAGTTTGTAGCAATCTTCCAAGAAAAAGCACTATCAAACTGATTTGCCATTAATTGTGACTGACAACAATTGCAAGGGTTGTACTACAGGTTTTAACAAATAAACATTATTTTATACAACAGATGTGAATACATGTTTTAATGAAGAAGTGGTTCATAATGAAAATATTATTGATTTTGTTAAGATTAAGCAGGTCAGCCATATGCTGTGTCTAGTCCTAATTTTTCTAAGTTATGCATATTAACAACAGATGCTGAATTTTAAATGGATCTAATAATTGAGAGGAAATCGTTCCAAAGCTGAATGTTGAGGGTTTTTCTTCTTAATGATTCAAAATAAGTTGCATAAATAGTTACTCAGAAAGTAATTTTTAATTAGCAGTGTAGCTTATAAATAACTCTTTCACATGGCATTTGGATGGCTTTCATCTCAGTGCTGCCAGATCTGTATGCAATTTCCTCAGGTGCCGTTGCTGAGGAGTGGGTTGGTTGAACACTCAGAACTTCCTCCCAACCTTTCAGCCATTTTTACAAAAGATTCTTTCCCAAATGCATTCCCCTCACAACTCAGCCATCTCTGGACCAAATGCAAGCAGTTCTTGGGCTGTGCATCTATACCTGACTTACCTTTATTTAGACTTGTCATATTGCTGACGGATGTAAGAAGCAATGCAGTAAGGCTGCTGAGCTAAGCTGGCCTGCTGCAAGTGAGGGACCATGCTCATCAAAAGGCTTGAGTAGTTCTTTCTGCACTCATTCAGAAATGCAGCCTCTGACTGGTTTCAAATGTAACCTTGGGATGGTTATTTTTTACTTGAGTGCAAAAAAATACTAATTTTACTTTTTTTTTGCCTCTGCAATTCCTAGAAAGACATGCTGCACAGTGCAGTGCATTGCTTCTCTGTTACCTCCCAAATGCAGCTGGTTACACAAACTGGAGAAGTAGGATGTGCTATGATCTTTGACCACAAGCCAAAGCTGCTATTTCATTCCACTGCCACATGTCCTCTAGAGAGTTCACCTCTCTTGTCATAGATGCTATGGGGCAACTGAACACAGCTCCCTGTGGCTAAGAAGCCACAGAGAGAGCAGGGCCACCTCAGATAGGTGCAAGCCCTCCTGTTGCTCAGCATCACATCACCAGCTGCTGCCAGATGTGCTCCCCTGACACTGCAAACCCCAGCTGTGCAGAACCGGTCCTCAGCATTGTGCACATCACCAAAGCCAAAACCCCTCCTGCTGTTGTGAGATGCAGGGTGCCATTGCAGTAACCTGTCCAGAAATCAACAGTTGTAATTGGCAGAGAGGGTAACGTTGCTGCTCCTTTGCAAAGCTCCAAGCTGTTCCCCACAGCCCTGCTCACTGCTGAGTGTCACCAGCACCAAATGGAAATGTAGGAATTGTAGGAAATATTGATGTTGGAATTAGAGCCATCTCCTCCCACTCTTTTGTGTTTCCTGCAGAGGAAAAAATAAAAAATAAAAGAAAATTACAACTTAATGGTGTTAATTAATATAAGATGCAAAGAATGCAAAGCCAGTCAGCTGCCGATAGTGGTGATCCTAAATTGGTTTCCAGGAGGCTCCAGACACAAAGCAGGGAGCTCCTGAGTGCATGTTTTATTATTTATATCAATTACTATCTTAATTAACTTAGTTTGACAAAGCAAGCTGCTGAAAGACAAAGCAAGCAACACCAGGCAAGAAAGCCAACCCTATCAGCTCCTTGTCAAAGAGATCCCAGAGAGGCACAACTCCCAGTGAGGGCTGTTTGAGCTTCATGCTCTTGACACCTCGCTTTCTGGATAATTCATCAGTACTTTGCAAGGAGGCAGCCTGGTGGACTCATCGCTAGTTGTAAACCATTTAATCCACCCCCTGCAGATGGCACTGTCCCTGAGATGGAGAGCACGTACGTCTCATTTCCTTCCCCGGGTAGAACCAAAGCAATGCTTCCTAATTTCAAACAGCTACCAGGAGCTGAATATCCTGGAGGCTCTTGCCTATATTTTTGTTATTGGTTTTGTTTTTGGTGTTTGGTGTGTTTTTTGTTTTTTTTTCAGTTGATCAATGTGTTCAAAAGGCAGAATGGGAGAGCAGGGAGCAGAGAAACATGTACAAAACAGGAAGCCTTGTGAAATAAACCATCTGGTCCCACCTACTTTTGTAGGTGTGTCCTCATTCGTAGCTTCTCAGATGGAGAGTATGATACAGGTTTTGGAAGGAAATGTCTCATTCCTACAAGCAGGTGCCTTAGATGCAGTAGTGCAGCTCTGCTGGTACAAAGGATCAAATACATAGGAGGATTTAGAATTGTGGAATCATTTAGGTTGGAAAAGACATTCAGGTTCATTAAATGCAACCATGAGCCTAACTTAAACAGCAGCATTTTGGGCCCAGAACAAGGATGCACTCTATGGGGAGGGATATTTACTCAATACAACCATTAAAGGTAGTGCTCCAAGTGGTAGAAAGACTCCTGCCAGCTGCAGATCTGCATGGCTAATAGCTACACGTATGAGCTGTGTGTCATCTAACTGGCTATTTCTTTCTTCAGAGAGACATTTAAAAGAGAGTCATAGAATCACAGCATATCCCAAAATGGAAGGGACCTGTAAACATCATTGAGTCTAATTCCTGAAAAGAGGAGAAGATAATCCCCATTTTAGAGCTCTGATCTCTGTATGTTTTCTGAGATAGAATACAACTACTGAAAGGAGGAATACCAATATTCTTATGAGGAAAAGAAGAAAAAAAGTGGGCAGTGAGAGGGAGAAGTCTGGAGGAAAACAATTGAGTTATGGCTCTTCATGCAGAAATGCACACAATTTCTGTCTGTGCTTTTCTCATCTGGTGGGCAGGTTGATGGATGTGCTGCACAGTGCTGCCCAACTGGCATTTTTCTCCAGCTGCAGGTGTACTGTTTTCTGCTTTTATCTGTACCCTGCATTCTCTTAGACTTCTAATTATAGATCACCACTGCCAGCTCAACAAGCAAGATTCACTCAATTAAAACTACACAGAGCATCTGCTGTTCAGCTGGTATGGAAAACGTCAGCTTTCCCCATTTCTCTCAGCTTAGAGGCATTTACTGTGATCCTGTATAGCAGGGCCTACCTCTGTCCATCCTAGGTGATCTGCCATCCCCCAAATACTGCTCCTGAACTTGATACAAATACAGCTCTCATCATTTTCTTCACCCAGGTACAAGGAACGAAATCAATGCATCTCACAAACATTTTAGTCTTTGGTGACTTCTCTGGAGGTCTGTGAGAGACCAACTCTACCTGACCCTGAGGTTTAACTGTTGTTTTGCTCTTATGGCTTGATTTAGGATGAGAATTAATGGCTTTAAGTTGCACCAGGGGAAGTTCAGGTTGGATACTAGGAAACATTTCTTCTCAGAAAGAGTGGCAATGCAGTGGCACTGGAAGCTGGGGAAGTCACTGTCCCTGCAGGTGTTCAAGAAGCATGGAGATGTGGCAGTGAGGGATGTGGGCAGTGGGCATGATGGGGATGGGTTGGACTGAAAGATCTTAGCGGTCTTTTCCAACCTTGATGATTCCATCATTCTATGATTTCAGATTTAGCGCCCTTTGTTCTGATAACCTGTCTTTTTGTTTCTGCTCAAATACTGATTTACATTTTGATGTTGCTCATAGGTGCATCACCTTTTAGTTCTGTTTGACCACAGGGAGTAGCTTATGTCTGACCAAGAATTTCTGCATCTACACTCAATGAAAATGCAGCATGTTTGCTAGGAAGATGCCCTAGGAGCCCTCCAAGATCTAGCTTCAAATTGTAAAGCTGTCACTCCTGCTGGTTTAATCTCTTCTCCTCACTCTAAATGTAGACATCTCATCTCCTTCTGTCTCTTTCCCCTATCTCCTTTTGTATCTCCTTTAATCTCCTTGTTTAAGATATATAGAGCCTTCTGACTTGTCCAGCCCCAACAAAATCTTCTCATTTCCATGTTCCCTCCTGCCTAAAATCCTCACTGTGCCCTGACAACCAACTTTACAGTAAATGCTTTATGATATCTACCTGGAAACACCACACCACACGTACACAAATTCCACTATACACCTAGGGACTGGCATTTTGGAACAGCCCAAGGAGGCATCATAAGCTGCATGTATTTGCTGCTGTAAAATGCAGATGCAGGTATCTACCTGCCAAAGCTCTCTTGGTATATGGAAACAACTCAAATGAAACCCAGCAGACAGGGAGCACAGTGTTCTGCTCACCTCACTGAGCATTCACTTCAGCTCAGATACAGACCTTGCTCCATCCTTCACTATGACAGTCCTTGGATTTGAATGTAAACAAGAAAGAAGAAAAACCCTTGCTGGGAATTTTAATAGGCTCACCAAGTTTAGAACTGCACTACTTTATAAAATCAAAGCATGTAATGATTTCTTAAATTGTAATTAAAAATTATAGAACCAAAAATACTGTAGTGATGAGCCCTGGTCCCTCAGAGGAGCACAGCAGCTCCCCAGAGAGGGGTACAGATTAGAAAACACATTCCACATGAAGGCTTTTACTGTAATAATTTGCATAACTGGATTAAAGAAGTATACCAGTGTGCCTCTAAATCTTATTATTGTTTATTACTCTGGATATCAGAGAAAACAGTAATTACATTTAGCAGAGATTGCTGGGCCAAGGTTCAGAAGTGAGCCTGTGTGAGCATATCCACAGTCACTGCTGCGCCCAATGGGACTGCTGAGAAGAGAGAAGGAGCCTCAGGAGCTAAAGGCAACACCATCTTGGGGTGTTTCTGCAAAACCTAACCCTGCAGGTGACAGTCCAAACACAGTGTCAGCAGCAGAGCCCCAGGTGCAAATACAGGAGCTGGAAAATTCCAAGCATGTGTGCAGTGCACCTGCCCTTATATGAGAGTGCCCACCACGCTGAGTGCCTCAACATGCAGCCCTTGGTGCTGCTGTGAACACAGCTGTAGTGACTGTTGATAGCAAAAGCTCATTTGTAAGAGTTAAAGATAAAAGACAGAGAAATTTAAGCTCTAGTTTGCTTCCTTCTGCCCTTTCCAGCAGCCATCTACGGTCACCAGCATGTAAGAGAAAATTAATAACCAAACTGGTGCCTGGAAATGGGGGTAGAAACGTGGTCTGGGGGAAAGAAATAATGGCCTGCAGTGGTTAGCAATTTTTTTTCTAGTTACTCCACTGCGCTTTGGATCACTGTAATAAAATGCTGTCTGTATTTAGTGCATGGGGTTGTAAACATTAAGGACCAACTCACTGCTAATCAGCCTTTGCAAAATGACAAATGAAGAACTTGAAATAGCACAGTTCCATAAAAGAAAAATCTCCAAAACTCAGGATTTTGTTGTGAAAGCTTTTCGTGTCAGTGCTCAGCGCTTTCTCTCAGTGCTGTACTCACTGCTCTTTTCTACAAAGCCCTGAAGCAGAAACTAAAAACCTCATTAAATTTGGTTGGTTTGTTTGGAAGGTTGGTGGGTTTTTGTTTTGTTTGTTCTTTTTTTTTCCTTTTTCAAAATCTCCAATTATTCTGTATGCTGAACTTGAAAGAGAACGATCTCCCAAAATTCAGTGAAAGCATTTTTCAGTAAGACACTCAGATGTCTAAACCACAATAAGCAAGGCAGCTATACTTAATCACTGAGTAAATGCAAACAGTGCCCACTTTAGAGAGGCTTCTCTGATTCAGTGTTGCTGTAATCAGCTTCTAATTTTCAATTCCTCATTGCAGGCAAAAGCACGGCTTGAAATTGCAAGGAAATTTGTGAAAAGGGATTTCAAATGTTTTTCCCAGTGTGTGTATTGGCATCTGTGTATTTTTTTAACTAGATTAGTTTGCTGAAGGTTGATGAGCAGAATGGTACTGTTTCACAGTAGGGATACATTTAGAAACCAGTGAAACCATAACCTATTTCTTCTCTCTCCTACCTTATCTATTTGCCATGCCTGGCAGCACACACATCTCTGGCCACACACGGTACAGTAAGTTCAGCCTGGCTGAAAAAGGACAAAACTGCCCCCTGGTCCATGCTTTTTCTATAGCTGGGATATCAAACAGCTCCTTACATCGCTTAATGTTATGGCTGGAAGAAGCCTCTTCAGAAAAGATGTCTAGTGTCAATACTTTTTCCCTGATTCTTATCAGTTATCAGATATTTTCAGTACATACAGGAGGAAGAGACTAGAAATCATTCGTTCCATTATAGCTTTTAACTCCTTCCTTCTACTGAAAGGGGATGTCAAAGGAAATTGTTTCCTCCCAGGAGACTCCTTCAAAAGAGAGCTCTTACCACTCTGCTTTCTGACAAGCCTTTCTTCTCTTGGTCACACAGTGCTCATCACAGCTCAGTGACAACAGCCCCTTCTATCCACCATCTTTTGAAGTGTTCTCGAAGGCCCTATCAAGGTCTCTGGCTACCTCTGGAGATCAAAGCTGATGGCAGCATTACCCACTACACATGTCAAATCCTGTTCCTCAAGGGAAGAGCAGAAAACTTCTTGTCTGACAAGGCTACGCTGATCTCCATTGGCTGGAAACATTGTCACCTTGCTGAAGGGTCAGCAAATTGGGGTTATATGAGACAATGGCAAGCACACAACTCAATGTCTTGTGGCATATCTTAATATCCTCCTATTTCGATGAGTTTCCACACATTTTCCAGCCTGACCACCATGATGGCAGCATCAGCAAATTTACCAGGTGACTTAGCTAATCAGCTGTTGGTCACTGTGCATCAGCCACACCTCATCAAACAGCTTCACTCCTGCAGTTTGCCCTCTCCCAGCAATGCAGCTCATCTCACTATATGCCCTGATACAGCTCCCAAGACACAGCAGCCATGGGATCTCACCGCAATGCTCCCAGCAGCCCTTATCCCTGATCACAGTGTCAGCTCTGCACAAAGGACACTTCAGAGAGCTGAGGCTGTTCATCATCATGACCCTAATGGAGGAGATCTACAGGAATACTGTCAGTCTTTTCCTATGAAACTTATACTAGGGACTGTATTCTGGGTAGATAAACAGACTTAACTTTCACCCAGTCCAAAGATTTAATCCCCTCACTGGGGTATCCAGATCTTGTATTCATCACTGCTTTTCCCTGTTCCCACATCTATGCTGCCAATGACATGGAAACAAGATAGGAAGGATCCCTGCAGTTTACACAAGGGGATTTTTTTGTTCCAAGATCTCCACGGCCTCTAGCTCCCATCAAAGAAAAAAAGACATTTGGCGATATGATCTCTGCCTCTCCTTCTCCAGTATGGCTGGAAGTGCTGGGGAAGTCACCCATGGGATATGTGGTGTTATGACTGAGCCCCTAGTCATTAGCAACCAGAACTGATTAAAAGTGGAAGTGACTTACAGTGTTGCAGGAAGTGCACTCCCACCAGCTCTTGTGTTTACAGCACCTCACTGGCCATAATGCAATTTGTAGTGGGTCCAATTTTCTTCTTTCTCCAGGCAAACATTTTCTTCAGCTCCCCCCTAAAGCTGTCATGGAGCCAGGCGTAGAGGAAGGCATTGGTGCAAGCAGACATCATGGCAAACCAGTGGCATAGCAGCTGGATTAAATTGAAGTACTGCTTATCAATTAAACTGATATCTATATCCTTTACCACGTTGAAGATGTGCAGAGGCAGCCAACAGACTCCAAAGGCTGCCACCACCAAGACAAGCAAGCGAAAAGTCTTTCTCCTTCTTGCCCGGTCCCATTCAGCTTGGCCCTGGGTGACATTGCCTGGGACCACTCGGTTTTTCAGCTTGACTGAGATTCGCAGGTAGGACAGGGAGATGACAGCCAAAGGCAGCACGTAGGTGATGATGAGAGTGCTGTAAGCATAAGCCAAGCGATCTCTTTTCATATGGAACCAAAACTCCTCGCAGATGGAGAAGTCCAACTCTGGGAATTCCGCATGATAAGTGTGGAGCAAGGCTGGGGCAGCCAAGGTGCAGCTCAGCAGCCAAATGGCAGCCAGGATATAGGTACAAACATGGATAGTGAGCCTCCTCCGGAATGGGTACACCATGGCATAATACCTATCCACAGCTATGACAGTCAAGGTGAAGACAGACACAAAGACAGTGACGGGTTGCATCAGGAACACAAAGTAGCACATGAAACGTCCGTACACCCATCCTCTGGGCTCAAAGGCATATGCGAGAGTCAGAGGCACACAGGTTGCACACATGAGCATGTCTGAGAAAGCCAGATTGCCGACCAGAAAGTTGGTCACATTGTGCATTTTTTTCGTTTTGCAGATGACATAAATAAGAAGATAATTCCCAATGACGCCAATAAAAACTACTAGGGAGTAGCAGGGGATGATGAGTGGCTTGAAGGACTGAACAAACTGGAGCCCTGAGAATAAATTGCTGGCATTGTTATGAATTGCAGAGAGAAAGCTCTGGGAGGTTAAATTGTCCGAATTCATCATTTCCTTGCTTTTGTCGTCTGCCATCAGCTAAGTGAAGTAGTTACCACTGCACTGCTCTCACACTCAATCAGTGAGGATAATGAATGGATTACTGGCTGTGCAGAGGTTGCCACATGGATAGTAAACAAGCATCTGTAAAAGCAAAAGGTGAAGTTGTAATCCTCGAGAGGCAGCTTTCAGCAGTTCCTAGGAAAAATCAAATACAGCCAATTTCCATTAAAGTCCTCCTGTATTTACCATTAAATGTAGGTTTTGACAGCATGCCACTTAATAAACATTTAATGCAGGGAGTACTTACTGCAGTGTTTTTCTAATCCCGTATGATTTTCCTGTGGATGCCAAGAAGTGCCCTAGATGTCTGGCTTCTGCAAATCCAGGAGCGTGTGTGTGTGTGTGTTAGAGAGAGAGAGAGAATATACGAGTGAGAAAGAGAGTGATGCGCATTTACAAGCTAAGTGGAGATCAGTGTTTTTAAACAGTCTTCACTACCAGGTCATGACAGATTTGTCCATAAGCTTTTATCCCTATTGGCTGCCCCGAGCATTACGTTGCTCTTTGCGTGTGTCTTACTGATAGTAATTAGTTCTTGAATATACTTTCAAGAATTCCCCTTTCTTTGCAGTATGTCTTTACTTGCCCTTCCCAGCTAAAATTAAATTTGCATTCATTAACACGAGCCTACACAGCATCTAATCTCAGATCCACTTTGTCACAGTCTTCAGAGCGCCCAAAAAAGCTACCTGTAAATTTGCTGCTACAACGTGACCGTAAAATGAAATTCAAATGACATGCAGACATCGGATGAATGCTTACACCACTAGAGGGACTCAGCTACGCACCTGGTGAATGGAGTTAAGTCGAGATGAGCACTGTGCATGGAATAGAAAGAATCTTATTTTCTAATGGGGTTAAAATGTTTGCCCATTGCTGGTATTTTCAGTGGCCTTTCACATATCTTTAAGAGTAAAAACATGCAAAGATCTCAAAGGAGATAACAGCACCCAAGCAGCTTAGCTGTAACGGCTCACCTGTAGTGAATTACAACAAACGTCAAAAAAATTGCAGCTGCACAAGTATAATTGGGATGTTCCTTCATTAGGCATTAACCTTAAGAAGATGGTAACCTTTTCCATGCTAAACAGCAAATGCAAACCATCCTCTAAAACAGCACATTTGTTTTGTGTGGTTCAGGCGTTAGAAAAAGATCAGGATAGGTGTGCAGAGAGCACACATTTAAGCAAACATCAGCATCAGACACTTACTGTGCTAATTCTCCCTTTACTCCCCTCCATTTCAACCATGTTGGGACCAGGACCTCTGCTGGTGAAAAAAAAAAACAACGGTGAAACTCCACTGTTTCTATTTACATCCACTAGAGATACTCTTGAAAAATAATAAAATAGAATAAAAGGATAAAGGAGCTGCCTGATAGCTTTTGAATACTTCAAAGTAGGGAACATCGCAAGGCTTTGCAAGGCACTGAGGGGATTTAGACACAACTACTACAGGCACTTTATATCCTAATGTCTTTGACTACTCAAGAAAATACTAACCTAGTGTTTTCCATAAGGCTATTATTCTCTCAATATGATGAGAAGAGTGATCACACAAACAAAAAATTTAGATTTCAAGCGTGTCATAATCCTTTCTCTATTCTTAAAGAGGAGTTAATCTTGTGTAGCCTTTGCTCAGACCCGAACCATTCTGCTATAAATACTTGTTGATGGATGGGCATTTCAAACCATTTCAAACAGATTTTGCAACTACATGTATGATTAGATTATGCTATGGACTGGAATATGAGCATTGTTCCAGCCTGAGGGGAGAGTACATGTGTAACTAAGGTGCTCAGAAGTACCATCCTTCACTTCACAGACATTGTGACCTACCCATGACCCATAGGAAAAATGGGATGCTACATCCCACTTTGGAGCCCAATCTCATGCATCTGAGCCAGAGGGGACCCAGAAGAATGTAGTACCTATTTGTCTCTACATAGTCCAACCCAGAATAGCAGGAGGATTTGAGGGTAATGATTCCAAAGAGGAATCCTACTGTTTTTACCATCCCCTGTGACCGCACTACTTTCTTATAAGCAGAATGCTGCAAAACTGTTTCTTTACACTCGTAAATACATTTGTTTCACTTAGTGTGGGAGAAAACTGATCTCAGTCCTACTGAGGTCGAACTGAGCCTTCTAGGCGATTTCTGTAGGCTTTGGACTGGGTCTCTAATACAAGCCAAAACACATGGAAAAATGATCAGGGAGCATTTCTAAACAGACTGCATACTGCCCACATCCTACTGGAGTTTTGATGCTTATGCTAGGAAAGAAGACTCACAATAATGTCAGTGTCCATGTAGCACTTGAAAAACACATTTTTGACTAACTTTTTTTTCTGAAAAGCTGCAGAGCAAATCCAATGAATATCCTACTGCATTCCTATGAGAAAAAGGTTATGCTTGCTATGCGAGAATAGAAATCAAACAAAATATGTAAAGTAGCCTTCAAGATCACCTTAATGTTCAAGTCACAGGAACCTATAAGCAAGTTTAAATGTTCTTTTATTTCAAGATGCAGAAAGCAACTTCCATGCATTTTCTCTGACCTTTACATGCATTTTCTTTACCTCTGAAGCCAGTAACTAGTTCATTCTCTGTTTGAAGGCTCCTATCTTATTTCTGTTAATGATTTCCTGTTTGTTTTGGCTTCAGGCAGAAAGTTTCCTCAGCTGTATTCTAAAGCCAAGACCTGGAAAGATAATATTTACTAGGGGGCTGAATGGAAAAAGTATTTCAGCATTTTAACCCAAAGAAATCCTCTTTTCTCCTTTCAAAACTGCAAATATTAATCTTGTCTAGAATTTCCAAGATTAGATGGCAGAGTCCTTCATGAATGGCGTGTAAGTCTATTTCACACAGAATATACTTAAAGAGGAAAGGTCACAGAAACTGCAAAATGACTCATTGGAACTGTTTTGCCATTCCAAGCGTGTGAGAGTGTCACACATACTGATGCTGACCAACGTCTAATCAAAACCCTTGTTTTCCTGGAGTCAAGAGAAAATGTGTGATCTGAAGGCAGACCAACAAATCTTCACAGAAATGTTTCACAGCTGCGCTTCTATGAACTCTCACAGTAATCTGTCCAGCTCTGTATGACCACAGAACATTGTTAGCTTTCACAAAGTGATAACCCCCCTAAAGCGCTGAAGCTGCTCTGCATGTGCGTGCTTAATCATCCCCACAGCTCGTGAACGAAACAGCATCCAAACATGAGGTCTGGTCCTAGTGGCTACGCTGGCAAAATTAATGGTCCTTCTTAAGTTAGGAGGTCCTCTTCTGTTACTTCAGCTTTACAGACTTCCAGAAAATTTCTTCTGTCATTTGATCCTCATTTAAGTGTCAGTTTTCTATACTTGTGTTCACACGATAAGTGTCTCTTTCTGTAATAAGGAGACACATAAATAAATATTATTTGTTATCCCCAGAATTCTTTGATAAAGTCTTTCATATTCTTCCAGACATGTCTGGTAGAGAGCAGAACACGTAATTCTTGCTGAGTCTACGTTAAAATTTTGCCAGCATTGAAGGAGGCAGAGACAAACGTTCCTTTGCCACTTTCTTATGATCAGTGAGAGAACAAGGGTGCATGTCAAATAATTCCAAGACAGGGCTGCTTGTACCTCCAACTCTCATTTAGTCATCTGAACACATTGTATCTGCCTTTGCTGTGGGCTGAGACGTCACAAACTCTAAAAAGAGTGCTTACAGCTAAGGGGCCTGTTTGACTCGCTTGTAGGTTTTTTGTTTGTGGCCACTGCTTTTCTGTGCTTTAATAGGGTACAAAAGGAGCTCTTGCTAAGTTAGCCTTCCATCTATGAGCTACTAAATTCTATTTATTTGCTTATTAGTTGGGACATACAGCAGTTCCTCTCAATTTCAACTTATATAACACATACGATTTAGCATATGATGAACTGTCAGCTACACCAGAGGAAATGAAAATTTTCCTAAGAACCATAAAGTAGACAAAGAATAACAACATTGATAAAGGAAGTGGTCTAGAAGGCAGTAATTGTTTATGCCCATTAAGAACTTTGCTTGCAATTTAACAACCTTGATAGCTCTTTTTCTTATGCTAGCATGAAAAGCAAGCTAGCACCAGCAAATTTGGAAACAGAGGTGATATGAAGGGTTACTGCAATATTACACAAAGAAACTCTGAAACCGTGAAGGTAGAGAAGTTTGATAGTATTACAGAGGAAAAACTTGTCATAAAGATCAGAATTGAGGTCACCTGGCAGTAAACATTTTCACTGTGGCTTAGGAAGGAGAAGCTTCTGTACAAAGAAGTAATCAATTAATTTGGAGGTGCGAGAAAAAGAAAATCTATGACTTTGTGAAAGATTCCAAGGTGAATTTGTCTCTACATTGCATCAATTTCTGGATAGTTTTCCTGCTGTGAGTGTTTACTCATTAGTCAGAATGTTGTATTATTTAAAAACACAGGGGAGGATGGTAAACTGTAGAGCAGGTGAAGAGGTATTTTAGCTAGGGAACAATACAAATGAAAGGACAAATTCACCACAGACAAATTTAGGCTGAAAAGTAGAACACTTCTAAGAGGTAGGGCAAAAAAGTACCCTTTGGAAATGCTGATTTTTTGAACAAATGGTGTATTATTGGGAAAAAAAACACCTATTTTTAACAGAAAGCTTGAGTCATTTATTATATGATATGATTGCCTGCATGGGGCTTGGGCTTCAGAAGATGCTATCCAGCATACATTAGTGCAGTTTTAGACTTTGAACTTCAGTCATTCTTCCTTGAAAACAACACCACTAACAGTATTTCCATTGATAAAGTTCAAAAGATAGGATTAAAATTTCTACACATGCACACCTACACATATGGACACAAGTAAGACAAAGTCCTAAAATGTTTTCAGTATTATTTGTAATTCTTTGATGGGAAGATTGAGCAGCACAGGTACTAATGCACAAACTGGAACTGCACTTAATCATCTGTCAGATGAACTTTCACTGTTGCTGATCTTGACCTCTGTTCAAGGCGTATGATCTACAAAGTAAGGAGAAGGACAGGGCCAGCAGAGTCACGCCATAAAAATATTTAAGCCCCAGTGTATTTTTATTAGTGCAATCACCAATTCTTTCTCTGCTCTTGCTTTCTACTGCAGATTCCTACCCAGACACTTGATACAAACAAACTTCATTCCTTCACCTTCACAACCCTCTGAAGATTTTCTTTGTCAGCTAAAACCATTCAGGAATTAATGATCAAGAAAGCTAAGAAGCTAACCCATTTGTGCTTTTGTGGGTTTTTTTGTGTGTTTTTGTGTGTGTGTGTGCTTTGTTGTTGTTTGTTTATGTTAGGGTGCTGGATTTTTTTAAATTTCTCAATGCAGGATAAGAAGGCTAAACTCCATGGCGATTCAAGAGTTAAGCATGCTGAATTTTTTAACTGAGCATACTAAAGCAGAATTTTACAGAAAAGTGGGGACTAGGTGAGGAACTGTGACCATCTCTCACTTGTCTGGATTGAGTTCAATGGAGTTTAATATTTGTATAACAGATCCTTCTTTAAAAACCCCACAGAAAGCAAAGGTCTCAGTTACAAAGCAGGATTAAACTGGAAAAGTATGGAAGCAGATTTGCATATCCACCAGATCCAACAATTCCTACTCAGCCCCCAAGAAAAACTAGCATTTCTCCTCCTCCTACAAGAGCTAGGCGGATATGCAATACCAATACATGCCCCAAGTTAGGTAAGACTGTGGGAATTAACTCCCAGAAACACCTGCAGATTGAACGTTGAGCTCTGGAGAAACTTAGGCTTGTAAATGTTCCCTGCAGACATAAACGACCAGGAGTCAGATTGACTACACACCCCCAGGGGCACGTGCACAGCCGCGCCCTGGTGAAGAAGAGAACTGACAAGAAAAGCCGACAGTCATTTCCCGGCCACTAACACTTCCCTACAGTACTGTGGAGAAGCTCTGCCTTCCTGCTCCCCCAGCCTGTTGGGGGCTGAACGCTTTTCAGGGGGCGTCCATCTACCTGGGGAGAGGAGACGGGCGCGGAGCTTCAGCACCACGGACAGCGGCCCGACCCGGAGCTGCGTCGGCCCAGAGCTCCCGTACCCGTAATGAGCGACGGGCAGCAGCAACACAGAAACTGATACCTGCTGTCCTGCACTGACCACGTTGCCATTCCCACATGCTGTTTTCATGGGGAAACGAGTCCAATTCATATTTTTCAAGAAGAAAAGGAAAAAAACCAGAATACAAGCACCATTCCAGGTGCCC